CCCTCCGCGTCCAGATGGCTGACCTTGGGACGGAGGTTCCCCATCGGGCGGGGGTGCGGGGGCGGGGGGCGCCCTCTCCCCGCTCGGCCCCAGCCCTGGGGCCCAGCGCCAGGCGGGCGGGCCTGGGTCGCGGCCCCGCCTGGGTGAACCGGTTTGGGAGGGAGCCAGCCGCCAGGCGTGTGGGTGTGCGCATACAGGAGTGTCACCGAGAGAGAACCAGCCAGGGGGCGGGGTCTTTCAATAGCTATGAGAGCATAGGTAATAGGGCTCTTCTATAGCCCTGGTAGTCATAATTCTATGTAACAAATGCTTGCTTTGACACTTATAAAAATGACCCATGAATGAATGGCTTCAATAATTGTATAAATAGACAGTGTACTGGAGCCTTCAGTCAGTTTTGATATTTTCCACATCCTATTACTTTTGTCTTTTCCTTCTACAGGGTTTAAACCAGAGATGAAATCCCTAAATTAGTAAGTGACTACGTAGAAAACAAAATCAACACAGATGCTCTTATAACCCATAAGTTGCCTTTTGAAAAAAATCAAGGAAGCATTCAAATTGTTACGAGAGGGAAACTGGTAAGTATTTATGTGAATGAGGTGTGTGGTGTGTGTGTGTGTGTGTGTGTGTGTGTGTGTGTGTGTGTGTGTACAAGACTTGCTGGGTGTGGTGACATACGTGTGACCGTGTGACTTTCAGGAAAATTTTATGAAAAGTCCATGCTCCCATTTTACTTTCTACTACCCTCGTGACAACATGTGACAGTAAATGGTAATTAGTTTGTCTGATGAATTCTTGAATATCACATTTCTATTTCTAACACCAGCATCAACTGCAATACCTCAAGTGTGGGAATTGCTCAGGAATAAGTTTTTCCTTAAAAGAAGAAATAAATAAAAAGGTGAATGATAAGCAAAGGTTACTGGTGGGGCATAACTCAATCCTTAAGAAATATTGGTTTAATCATAAACAGAAATGAACCTAGTTTGTCTTTACTATATGATGGCTCTTAAGCCTAAGATGGAGGCAGGCTTAAATATATATGTGTGTTATATATGTATGTATTATATGTGTATTATGTATTATATATGTATATATGTATTATATGTGTATATAATATACACATATGTGTATATACATGCACATACATA